CCAGGATAACTAATCCTAGCATAACTTGTCTTCCAACCAAACGATCCCTAAATGTATCCGTATTGGAATGCTAATCATGCACATATGATAAGCTCAAAGTCAACTAGAATGACGAGTGCAACATATAATACCTCATGCGATCATTTTTGGCTCTATCTGCCCTCAGTTTAGCCAAATTGGCTTCTCGTTCTTCCATCTTCTTCTTTTTCCATTTCATGAACAACTCAGGGGTCAAAGGAGTTGAAGAAGTTAATTTCGCACGCTGCAAGCAAAGTAGAAAACATGAGTCACTGAAGTAAGTTCATTCATGAAAATGTTAATCATAAAAGTGCTATTAGATATCAGTAGTAGAAAATGACTACTTAGATACAACAATAACCTGATCTTCAATCTCTTCCTCAACAGGCATTTTTTCAGTTTCCTCTTCTTCTAGGAGAGCCTTCATCTGTGATTTTAGAATATATCCAGGAGGAAGAGCTAGCATGCCTATAGTGGCAATCTTTACCACCATTTGGACAGACCCAAAACCAACCATATTGCTTCTTTTCCACAGCTTCCAAAAAGTATTTACATACCTGCAAATAGTTAAACCATTAACACACGCAATAGCTACAAGCTAAAATATCGCATTAAATCCAAATAAAAAGGAATAACTGAATAAATTACAGAGAACTGAACCAAGAAGGTTAAATCATGTGCTGAATATGACTCTGGCAAAGTTAGAGCCCAATGCATATTGACATGAAAAGCAATGGGGAAGTACTTACTATGTCAGCAGGTTTGTCACAACATTTTTGATGCCACAACCTTCTCCAAAGTCTCCTGATCCCAGTCCTCCATTGTCCCCTTCTCTTTTTCTTTTTTTGACAAAAAAATTTGACAAAATAATTAAAACAGTAATCTGTTGGGAAGCGTGTCAGGCTAATAGAAGGGAATAATATTTGAAAGAGAAAAACAATAAATTTCACAAGACAAGAGAAGATTTACGTGGTTCGTCAATTTTTTGCCTACTCCACGGCCACACAAAGAATAACTCTTTATTAATTGAAGAGAGAAAGAAGAA